AAAAACATTCACTGAAGCTGCGATAAGTGAATGCAGCAAAGTTTATGGGCTTGATTAGCAAAAGATTTTACTCTAAATTCCAGTCGCGAGCTTATTTCCCATTTTGATTTTTAATAATTTGTTAATATGCTCCTTGGTATACAGGTGAAAATGAGACACATCTTCAATTCACAGTCAAACATGATATATTTCAATGACTTACGAATAAAAAATTATTAATAAAAAATCATAATTCCGAAATTGACTGGCTGCTACTTTTTTTCTGTTTTGACGACGGTTTTCAGATAAATCTGATAGTACCAGTCACCATAAGCCTATTTCATTAGAACATGTAGAAAAATTGAGTGCCAGTTATGCAGGTTATTATGCAATCATATTTATCCCAAAATATGTTCTTGCTTCGGTGAAAGCAAATCCTTATATCACCCCTATTTTTGGTGATTACAATTTTCGCAATTATAACTACATGAAAGTGAGTGGTATTCACGAATACAGTAAAAAACAACAAAATGAAAACCGATATTAGAGCATCAATGACACAACTACAAAGTGATCTCGTTCTAGGTTTTAGATTTTTATGTTTTTTTTGTACATGATACATTTCCAGGACTAGAGAAAGTAAAAGTTCAAGCCTACAGTTGATCAATAGTATCGTCTAATTTTTATTAACAATGAATTTTTCAAATTGTATTTGTTGCAATAATAAAATCTTGCTATAAAAATGGCTTACTTTCCAGCCCATCTTCGGCATTGAAACGACAATTTTGTTTGTAGAATGCTGGAAATTTTAGGGTATTTAATCGCCACATCAGTTTGTGTACAAGTGAACTTAAAGTACTCTCTACCGGAAATGATGATACCAAAACGAGATTATAATAATAATTCTAGATACGTGACTTAATGAAGCTTTGTGTAAAAAAACTCAGTCGTTTTTGATAATTCTTTTTTAGCTATGAACCCTTTATTTATAATATATTTATACAATTGATTGTAATGGAAAATACCAGTTTGCTTAATGCATGAACTGATGGGCTAAAATTACCATTTTGCATTTCCACCTCTTCAGATGATTGATATTGGCGCCAAACTTGACGAATTGCTTACATTTCTCCGTCCCACAAGTCATGATTCCGATGCCAATGCCGTCGTCCTCACGAATTCTTGCAAAGTTTTATCGTCGAGCCCGTCTGAAAATTGTGATAGAGACACATATTTTGTGGGTAACCAACATTATAAACCATTGAACAGCATCAATGATACCATTTCTACATCTGGCTCTGTTTCGATGCACAACAAAAATGCCTTGAACGGTGAAGATGAGGAAAGTGGAGATCAACAATTGGGGTTGCCTTGGCAACCGGCCTCTTTGATTGAGCGGTCTAATCTTCTGAAGGCCGATTCCATTCGCAGAAGCGGCAACATTTCAACAGTCAATGTAAACAACACATACCTACCGCCATATCCCTTCTCTCCGCCAGCCACTTCGTCTTATTCGTCCATCTCTTCTTCTTCTTCTTCTACTACTTCCAGCATCTCACCGTCTGGGTCTACTCTCGAAAGATTACATCAAAACGCCAAAAGCTACGCGAAATCGAGCATTTCTGACGATTTTCTTAAAATTCATTCATACAATACGGCACCCAACTTGTCAGAAGTTCGTCACTCGACACCGTCATTGGAGGCTAAACATGAAAATGCTGGAAAATGTCTGGCCTTAGACATGTCTGGCGACATTGTGGTTGAACAAGATACGGACTTGGGGCTCAATCTGAAATCAGAACGCCAACCATTTCTTGCGTTAACGGAAGTAGAATGTCTACGAAAGTCTTTCTGTTAGACTGACTTGTCCTGGTTTCGCGAAAACCTACAAATTGACCCTTTCTTTACACTCAGTTGTACCTGCATTCATACTGGCTCAAGGCATTGTTTTTTTTCTATTCTTCTCTCTGAGAACACCATCCATTCGGTCGTATTTACATGCCAAAAAAGTCTCAACATGAGGCTGTTGAGGCTTCCTTCTGTTGCCGTCCAAGCATTTTTTTTTTAAAGTTTATCAATCATTAATTTCTAGGCAACTGTATACATAAAAATAGAATAAATGAAGTGATAAACTATGCGATAGTTTTTGATTAATAAATATGTACCGTCATGCGAATTCGTCTTTAGAGTCAACTGAGAATAAGGTATGGATAGACGAATAATGATACGATGGACAGAGTTATCCACACTAAGACATGTCTAAAGCCCTATTGGGATGTTCAGATGATTAGATAGACATTGAAATAAACGCATAGATTGGTTGGGTTCATTAAAGTATATAAAAAGTTGGATTTCGAAGAATCTCTGGGTTGACAATTGCTGAGATCTTTTTTTTGTCAGGAGAAATGTCAAATCTAGCATAGGACGATGAAAAATTTCTCGTGTTTTAACTAAAAAAATATTGCTGATACCATTGCTAAAGAAATATGCGTCCATTTTTTCTAACATATAACGGACATTATTGTAGATGTTTAGCATTATTACAACAATTTTTAAGCTTACCTGTATTAAAAACTATAAAAATGGGCATCTTTAATGAAGTATAATGTGAGTTGATTGATTCTAGTCAAGCAGCATGTGCATATGTTTGTGTTTTCTGATTGCATTCATAGACAAATATATCCCAAAAACCGGCAGTGATAGTTCAATAGCAGAAATATGTTTGGTTAATTTGACAAATCATTTGCTTTCACATGTGGAACAGAGGAAATGAACTGATTCGTGTATAAATTGGAATAAGAATGAGGTAGGATCACATAAATTGATGAAATACAAATACAAGAATTTTTCCTCAATGTTCTGTAGAATTTCACTTAATATGAAAGTTTCTACAGGACTCAAACACGAAAAGTACAGCGTTTAAAATCGAAAAGGAATTTCTAAACTAAAGAGACACAAGTAACACATTTAAATTTGGATTTTTGATAGAGCAAACTTGTGCTATTCTACGACAATCTACTAAGTTATACTATTTTAGAATAGGGATTGAAAGTATTAGAGTCGAAATCTTCAGAAAACGAATTTAAGCAAGAGTTATTCTGACTTCAATTTTAACCGGTATTTTTGGCATTAGCTGTACATATCGTTTAAAGGTACGTTTTAGAGAAACCATGTCGATAATATATATGAGGGGTATTCAACTGCTGATAATAAAATTCTACTAACTGGTCCTTCATCAAAATAGTCAAAATACATTTCCTATATCTGTTAGGCTCGAAAACCTGCCTTAAAACGAAAAATGAATCAAAGGCATTCTGAATGTGAGGTAAGAATTAATAATGATTGCATTCGTTTTAAAGTCGTTCCGGAACATTAACAAAATAAACATAAACAAGAATAATTTTAACTTCAATATTAACCGGTATATTTTCTATTAATTGTATTCAACTTAAATATTTCGGATTTCGATACTACTAGTAGATACTATATATAGAATGTATTCCAATAATGATATTCATATTATTATAAAAAAATTTTACTAATTAGTCCTTTATCATGCTAAAAAAAATAGGCAAAACACATTTCCTATATCTGATTTACTGTAAGGCTCGAAAATCTGCCTTAAAACGAAAAATTAATT